AAAAATATAATTCCCAGTTTAGGAGAAGGAATGAAAGCTGCTTAGAGGTGACTGAAACTGTACATAAATTATGTCAGGACATGTGAAAGCTTCAGTTAAATCTGTTTGTCCCTCTCTGTGATTCTGCCAACAGTATGAAGCTGGTTGACCCACTCAGAGAATATACAGAAGAAAACAGGGCGCTTCAGAAGTCTTCCCAAAGCAAAACTGGGTATTGTCCTACTTCACTGCAGTCCTTCATTGCAACTGCTTAATGAGATATTTCTCAAAAGATCTTTTCTCTTTAAACAGTTCTTACAGAGAAATAAAACCCTACAATAAGTCTTCCACTTTTCTTCAGCCCTATCTTTAATGAAGAAGTTACTTTTTCTTTGAAATTTCAAATATTTTAAATAAAAAAAAAATTACCATTTAGAAGTAAATTTAGGATCTAGTTCAAGAAAAGAAAACAGAAAAAGCTGTCTCATGCTAATGATGCCTCTAACATGATTTTCTGTGGAACCAAACTCATATAAAGGTAGATGCAGCTAAAGCTGAATGGGGTATCTTTGAATTTGTACTTTGCACAGCAAACTACTAAAGAGATGAGAAGGCCTTTTGCATTCCAACTAAATCTACATTGTTGTATCATGCAGTCATATCACATATGCAACATATGTTTAGAGTAATTCAAATTTTGAGTTGTCCAGAAAAAAACATTCCCAATTAATCCCTGATGATCACAAAAGCAGCTCTTCCATTTTAAATCTATCACCAAGGGAAACTCCTTTCACGGGATGGAGAAGGCAAGAGTCTCAATGCCAAAGTGAGACCAGACTGTAAGGAAAAAGACAAGTGACATGTAGAAAGCATACTTTCAAGATACAGACAGTTCAGACAACAGTTCATATATGGTCTGAGCTCACACAGGAAGTGCTAATTGCTTACTGCTGAAGTGATTATCACTTTATTTTTTTGTAAAATTAGGGAAGAATCACCATGGTAATTCAGGGAAAAAAAAAAAAGTGTTTCCTCTGGAATGTAGTGGTACTAAATAACCCTCTAGCAAAAAACACGGAGAGGAAAAAAAAATCTTACATACTTTTGCCTTTTACGGGCTATAAAAATGGTACCAGTATGATAAGGTACTGTACTTTACATAGATATAAATAATATCTATGTAAAACCTAAATTGACGTAAAAAATTCCAGCTAGTTTACTGAAAGTATGGTCAATACTGTACTTGGGAGTTTCTATAAATAGATTAAAATAATGCAATTTAAGACCAGATTTTGGAATGTGAAACACACAGTTATGTCACCAAGCGCAGGTCATTGTCCTGTTCCTTCCAGCAAGAATGCAGCTATCAAGAACATTTCACGCTCAGATCAACTGTGCATTTAAGTATCACTTGCTTTCAACACCCACTGAATAAAAATAGAAGGGGACAACAGAGAAAGCTAAAAAAGCACAGAGTAATTCAATAATGTATTTTTAAGCTGCTGGCTCTCCCCCTGTATTTTCTGCCCAATCTATGTCAATGTAAATTTCAGCACCAGCTTCAAGGAAGCCAGAATTTAATCTATGGAGTTCATTCAAGAATTTTAAAGGGGGAGGGTATAACACAAGCTCAGTGGCCACAACTAAGGAAATAAAAAAGATGACAAGGAAGAATACTGTCTGCCTGAATCCTAGCATGTGTTTTGTCTCCATTAACTCCCCTGCCTTAAGGAAAGACACTTGTGCCAACTTTCTTTTAAATGGTATTTCACAGTCACTTAACCTCTTTGCCTTAGACCTTCAGCATCTGTACAAAATGGGAAAACAAAAGCCTATTATCCATGAAAATACTACAAGGATGCTTAAAAGCATGCTACTTAGTAGTATCTGTTCTGAATATTAACTTATCTGCAGCCTCAAACTTTTTTCCCCTCAATATTTTTAACAACAAACTATATATTAAAATTTTAAAATGCGAACAATGAAGTCTTAATTGATCAATACATACTCTGTATGTAGGAGCAATTTCAAGAAATATGATACCGAAAAAATATTTTCTCTTAAGAGGTAACTTTTCCCTTTGAGACTTTGAAAAAGCTGTTCAATACTGCCTAATGTAGTACATAAACAGCTTAAATATTTAAACTTATTTTTTTCTCCCTTTTGTGCCCTGGATAGCATGGCTTTGGACACTGAAAGGATATTCACAGAAGCATCACCTATTTAAAAATTATAAAATCCATAAATCTACATTCTGAAAAGAAAAAATGCCTCTTGTACACAGTTTAAGCCACACACATCTAAGGAAAATGGGAAAGTTGATGTTATTTCCCACATGCCATGTCAGTTAAAACAAAAGTCACGAATTTTGTAATAATTAATCTAAGTTTTGAAGTGTACATTACCTCTTGCAATTTGCACAGAGATACATACAAGCATACATAAAAAATGAGCACTGCTGCATGGATGCGAACAAAAGTAATTTTTGTAACTCTCATCGATTATTTTGTCCATCCAAATGCATAAGTAGACATTGACATACCAGTTTTAATACACTGACAGCAGGGTATCTACTTGTAGGACAGCACACTGAGAATTGCCAACAGAAGGCTGGGTCTCTGCCCAGGACAGTGAGGATTTCCTACAGAACTGTGCTTCGCATGCATTTACTGAGTAACAGGTGAATTCCATGATATACTGGATAGCAACAGAAGATCCTACTAGGCTCAAGCAATTTGCAGCAACAACATAACTTTGACAAACTCTGCTGCAGTGTTGACAAATTATTTTGATGTCTGGCAATAAACTTAAAGTCACTGTAGTTCATGACAGTGTCAGTGCTGTAAGACAAATGCACTGCAGACTACAAGACTCAGTCCTGGTTCCTTGTGTTAACTCCTGTTAACATTCTACTCAATATAACCCGCTGTTTTGACAACTCTATCTGGTTATAGTTCTCTACAGAATTTTATTTAGCTATTACACTAATTTACATTTTTTCCTAGCTTACTTTACTCACACAAAACCATATTAAAAAAAATAAAATCTTAAAAAGAAAGGACACACACCACACCGCCCATCCCCCCATTTTATCTATCTGGCCTACTACCCACTTAAAGAAGGAATGAAAATTGATCTAATCTCTTCTTAACTGACAGGTTCTATTATATTTTGTAGAGATCTAAACAGACACTACCTAGTAGATTCTAATTGAATATGAAAAAAATCTATACTGGTCTGAAGAGAGTGTATTCAGAAGATCTGATTTTTATGTAAATGCTTATAAAAATTCAGCAGTTGGTGTTGAACAGTGAAGATGACTAATCCTCTACAGGTGACTAATTCAGTAATTAGTATGTTCGTGTTGATAACAATCATATCAATTAACATTTAACAAGCAGAGCTCTCAAAAATAAAAAGTATCGATAGATATTCAACTGCTGGCAGAAGCAGAAGAAAGCATTATGAAAAATGAAAAGTAAAATTATAGGCTATTTTGAATAGTTGTGTTAACTAGCTTAAATTTCTGAACCACTGATGAATTACTACTCTCCTCCTTTGTTGATCTGTGAAACAGCTCTGCAGTAACATCCCACGGAGATCATCTTGCTAGTTCAAGACACCTTGAAAACTACACCATCTAGTCACACAACAGTCTACTGCTTCACAATAGGAAAATCAGATGCGATAAAAGTCAGCAAAACTCATTCAGCAAAACTCATGCCTTCATTAATAGCAACCCACATCTGGTGAGATTCTCTTTCAGGTACTCTCTCTTGCAAGAGGAATTCATATGCTTAACACAGATTGTAAGGGTCATTGACCAAGCCTTTGAAAGAAGTGCCTTTTTTCTGTGTGTGTGTATATGTGTGTGTGCGTGCATGTAGAAGACATGTTACTAAGTTAAATCTAAAAATTGATGCTAGTTTCTTATTTCAGTAGTCAAGTCTGCTGGTGGTACACTGTCTATACTGACAATGTATTTGTACCAGAAGACTGCTATACAATCAGCATTTATGAACTAGTCTCATGTTCCCTTAAACTTAATTTGAGTGTGTTTTCCTCCCTTGTAATTGACCCAAGATTATAACAAATGCTTCCAGGTCAGTAAAATTTTCAAATCTACTAATCTTGCAAACCACCTCTAATTTAAAGATATTAGACTTAAATCATGCTACTTCCCTGCTCCATTCATCTGCAGATTCAAGAAATCCCAATATTGGAAGTCAATTTTTATGCCTGAAATACTGACCTAAGGGTTTTGCACCACATTAAAGCACTGCTCTGCCTTTGTTCATAAACTTGCATCTGCAACTTCTAAATTATATTGAAATGGAAACCTGAGAAAATAGAGCATCAACTCACAGTCAATAGCAGCTGAAAACATGGCAATTATACGATGTCAAGCTCATATATGTGTTAACTTAAATCCTCAGAAGCTGATTCTTGCATCCTATTATGCAAAAATTTACTTTTTACTCCCTGATGCTTGCAAGGTTTTTTCTGAGGTACTCCTCTCTTACCTGATTAACTCTATCGTGATGTTGAGTTTAATGATTTTATGTTACCTAAACAGGAACAAACAGAAGTCCTCAACTAAAATTATTTTTATTTCCTAAACTCAAATATTTACAAGGGGTCAGACACATCTGTATAGTCAAGGAAGGGAACTTCTAGACAATGAGTACTTCCTGTAAAACATAGCTGCTCCTTAAGTGATCCTGTCATGAAGCACTGACCGAACAAAAGCAATCACAATTTCCTTCTGTATATGGAAACAGTGACTGTATAACTTGCAACAAAAGAATTTTTCTTCCATCAAGTAAAAGTTCACATTTTTTCAGGATCCAAAGCAGAACTGCAGTTACCACTTGCAAATGAAACCACTGTTTTTTTAGACTCAGATGTAAAGTAAATCTTTACTTTTTCATATTGCAGATTATTACCAAACCAGGAAAACATTTAGCAAACAGTCATGCATGTGTAAATTTGAGATATTGAAAGCTTAACTGACACAGTACTTGAATTTCCGAAGGCAACATCCCACGGGGAGCTGATAGGCTGTTCTTCTCCTTTTGCTCCACCTTCCTTATCAACACCTTGAATCCCAATGCCTGCTACAGTGGTCACCACCTCTAATTCCAGATCAATCTACAAGAAGCAAAATTATACACACCAAATGCACAAAATTAACTTGGCTGAAGTTACAGATAATTTGAACTAAATGTCAAGAACAGAGTTTTGATGACAAATAAAAAACAAATCCTAATGAATTTCAAGTATTTGTTTATATAGGAGAATAATGATGATGTGGGCAGCAAGGGCACCAGGAAGACCACGTGCCTGGAATTGTTTTCCACATGCAACAAAAATTAATACTGCTCTGTCAACGTTTTCTCAGCAGTTGTAGAAAGAGGCATCAAAATTTTCTAGAGAAATACTCTGACAGACAATGGATGTGGATGTTTTATTTTAAACTGCTATAGGAATATGACATAAAAATTCAGATACTACAACAGTATCTTCCATGTCTATATAAAATAATCTGCACAAAGAAATTATTTTTGAAGTTTATTTCATGCCTTAGAGCAAAAAATGTTCTTATTTTAATTTCTGCAACCTAAATCCCTTTATTTTTCCTTCCTCATTTGCTTATTTTTTAAGGTCACATAAAAAGGGAGTCTTTCACACACAGGATCTTCTAACTTTTGTAGCAACAAAAGCACTCTTTTTGCACAGCCTATGGCCTGCACAAGTATTTGAAAGCATGTCCTGTAGCTGTTGTATTACTTTAATTATTAGATCCCCTCATGGTAAAAGGGAACAGCTAAATATCATGAAAAAATGCTGAAGAAGTATGATCCAGATTTTCAGACGTTTCTGTGCTGTCTTTGCTACCTGCAACACAATTTCCTGCAGTCACCAGGCTACAGTGATGACTATTAGTAAGATGAGGACCCCGGATGCGAACTACTCATTTTTAGTAACAAGATTTCTGTACAAACAGCGACCCTTGGTTCTTTCGAGAATAAAACCTGGTTGCCAACTACAATGAATACAGTTGCAGGGAGTTTGTGGATGGGTGCTTTGAAGTGAAACACAGAATGAACCTGCTTAACAGGACACAAAGGCACTCAAACTGAGTAAGGATGTACCTCCTCTGATTGCAAATCAGACATATCTGTGAGGATCTGAGTACATGATCTTCTGAGATACATAAAAACTTTTAATAATAAGGTAATACTATATTGCTTCAACAAAGTTCTGATTATTCTAAATCTGACCTAACCAAATGTAAAATCCAATGACAATATAAGCACAATGAGTAACATACCTATGTGCCAAAACCTTACAAGTGTTTAATAAAAAAAAAAAAATCCACATGCAGACAACTCTGATATTAAAGCAGTTACCTGCACTTTAGAGACCCAAACAGCTAACAGAAGTTTAGATATCCCCTGAACCACAGTAGTACAATAACTTTAGATAAGAATCTGATACTACTGAAGTGAAACAAAACCAATTCTTGCTTCCAGTACTAAGAATACATGTTTCTCGTAACAGGAAAGTAAGAGTAACTAGGAAAAAAACCAAAATCACTTATGCTAGAACCATCTTCATTTGAAAGGAAGCCCAAAAGTGTTATGTAGTCCTTTAAAAAGCAAACTGCACAACATTTATTTATAAGATATTTGGCCTATTATTCCTTCCTGATGTTGAGGATATTTGGAGAGTAATTAGGTATAAATTTCACCTGTATAAGTAGAATACGGTATAAGAGATTAATTTTTAATTTCCTTATGGAAAATGTACCTTTCTGATTAGGTGATTTTCTGTATCAGCTACATAAATAACATTATTTTTTATAGCAATCCCTTGTGGTGAGTTGAAAGCTGCCTCTGAAAATCTTCCATCTCTTCTTCCACTGTTTGGACCTATAAATGAAACAAAGGAAACTCAAAAGTAATTTTAGAAAAAAACTCCAAACTTTAAAATAAAGTGCATACATTTAAATCTGTAAGAGAATTACATACACTAAAAGATGCTTTCCTAGCACCTTGTACAGTTTACATTATTAATATTTTGTGCAGTCTCATTTTAGTCATTGCTCTATGTAATTATGATAGCCTGGTGCTATTAAGTTTTGAACTCATTCTCTGCAAGTTCCCTGCTTCTTTAAGACTTTGCTTTGCAAGATGAGCTTAATAGGGTTCTAAATTGTTCTTGTTGTCTTGCACTAAAGGACAAAAGCAACAATGGAAGACAGAAATAAAAAACTACATATATTTATATTCCTGACTACATCAAAGCAAGCCAGCAGGAAGAACTTTTATTTCTAAAACTCAACTTCATTTCAATAGTTTAGATCTTGGTGTAATCACAAATGAAACTAGTATTTGATTTGCAGCATTTTCTCATTAATAATAATAATAATTAGGAAAAAGATGACATGGAAATAATTATACAAAAGAACAGTGAGAATGATGGAGTGACAGTCTTCTGCTCAGAACAAACAAGAAATAAAAAGGAACATGACCTGAATATAACAGTATGAAGGTAAGCATCGTATTTCTGAGGGAGTAACATTTAAAAATGCATTAGCAGTATATGTCAGCAGAAGACATTTAGATTAGATATGAGTTATGTGTGCATCATGATTTATGATGCAAATATAGTAATTTTAACCTTTGTGCATGCCCACATTTATTACTGTATTATCAACTTCATTACATTATTTGCTGCCCACTGAGTCATTTAACTGAGTCACTGAAATACACAGACTTTTATTACAACCTACTGTCAGAAGACAATTTAGACCTTTACAGACACAAAGGACTGAGGTGCTGCTGTGTCAGATTCCAGTAGTTCCCCTTGTAAGCATCAGGGTGCACATCCCCAAGGAAGGGACTAGCACAGGAAGGAGGGAAACCAGTTCAGAGGTCAGGATACTTCCCTCTGAGTTGCTGTTTAACGATTATCCCAGAACACTAAAGGGCAGCTTGTTGGCAGAGACTTCATTTCACATCTCAAACAGAAGTCAGATTCTCACAACTCATGACTTTTGTCATAAGAAATCCTGTTTGTACTTCCTATTGATGAAGGGTATTAAGATTAATGCCTTTATCAGCTTAACTTGGATAATTAAGCTGTCTATCCAATACACTGTTACTTCAAATAGCAAGAGATGTTCTTCCTTTCCTTAAACAACAGTACCACTGGTATTTTTACGAGGTTTGTAGGATCCTGCCAGAGGACAGGCATTGGTCAATACCAGACTAATATAGTACATATCAGCATACAGGTCCTGATTTTGAAACATAAATGAACCAGTTTCCAATGATTTAGGCATTCAACCACTTCCTAAATCTGTCTGTTATGACATGACGACTCATGGATGGACTGTCCTGTACTTGGTGCATTAAGATGTAACTTTGAGCATTGTAATGGATTTAAAAAAAAGAACAAGCCTGAACATTTCATTTATGAAAGCGTAAAGCATACAAAGAACATGCAAATTTTCTTTATTTACATTGTAAAGCAGATAGCAATTTTACAAAAAGTTAAAGAGATTAGCTTTTAAAGCTGAAACACTACTAACAAACTTTGTAACAAATGTAAGTAAATTTAAATACTTTCACTATTTTCATAACTTGTTTATATGTTTCACCTCAATTTTGGTGAGAACACAGGCCTTTTCATATATACTGAGGCAACTTCATTTTCAGGTGCCTGTGTACTAGGACAATGCCACTGTTCATAATAATTCTTCCCTCCTCTAAAAACCAAAAGGGGATCCTATACAGGAATGATCTTCATTTAAAAAAACCACAACAACCAAAGAAAAATCATACCCCATGAACTTCCCCACCCACCACCACAATTCAACATTCTTTTCGTTTGTCAGGAAGGGAAGCATTACTGTCTCTCTTCCCTACCTTACTGCTGGATGTGCATAACTTAAATTTAAACCCATTTGCAACTCTTTCAGAAGAATACAAAATATAATTTTTGTAATTCATTTGGACATCATATGGAAGATACAAGCTTTAGTCAATGGAACAAAGAAAAAAAAATTAGACATCTCAACCAATTGCATGAACAGTCTCCTATTGATGGTACTATACTATATCCCTCCATATCCAGTGAAAGTGATTTTAGTAGAAAAAAGAATTCTGGTAATCCTTGTAAACTGCTACGTCCTCTAAGAAAAGAGCCTGGTAGGCCCAGTGAACATACTCTACTCCTAAACTAAAATTACTGTAATAAACTTATACACCCTTACCTCCAATAGTGTGTAGAATTTGTCCATTTTTTCGAGTAACCAAAATCCTATGATGTCCAGTGTCAGCTATTACCAGCCTTTCTCCTGAGTTATCTACGGTCACTTTGCCAGGAAACAGCAGGGGAGAAGGTGGTAAGGAGTCTCTGTATAACTTTATTCCAATGTTGTTATCTTTGATTTGTCCTCTCTCCTTGTAGAATTTCAGTGTTATAGAAGTAAATAAAAACAACTTCTCTCTGTGTCCCTCTCCAACAAGTGAAAACAGCATATTTCCACGAGGCCCAAGAATGACCAGAGTTGGCCAGCAGGACACTTCTAGTTCATGCCACAGTGTTGCATCTGCATCATTTACTACAGGGTGGACAATATTATACCTCAGAACAGCACTTCTAATGTTATCCAGAACTTTTTCATTTGGAAATTTTGCTGAATGGATACCAACAATAATAAGACCATCTGAAAGGAAAAATAAAATTGTGCATTGAAGCATATTTTGTATTTGAATTAAAAAAAAAAAGTAAAAACGAACAGTTATCTCACAATTTGACCGACTGCTTTCCAGAATGAAAGAGGATTTGAACAAACTAAAAGCAAAACATTTAATTTCATTTAGCATCAATTGTTATGTGCCATACAACAATTCATTCCAAACTGGAAATTTACATACCAGATCTTTACTGTTATTTGGCATTTATGACCTAATGCATTAAAGGGCTTCACTATTTGTAAAACTTCAAGCAAATATGTTAAAATAAAATGCTTTTGTAAAACAATTCTCCAAAAGCCCTGCAGGTACAGTCAGTAGAGTTTTCTACGGCAAGAATACTGAAAGCAGCCATCTGATCAGAGGGCCTGAACCAGGGCCCAAAATGTAACAACTATGAATAGCTGTGCCAAAGGACATGGTCTGGAACAGAAGGTAGTATTTATTTTATGCTTTTCTCCTACCTTTATCACAGAGATTGGCTAGCTGGACATGTATACTCACCTCTGGTTTTGTGGTAGAAAACCATACTCATTGTTTCAGGTCTCAAACAGTTGTATTATTTGAACTCAGATAAGATTGTTTCCCTCTAAAAAAACTAACATAATCTCAAGTTGGCTTTTTATTCAGTTACAGAGAAATGGAAAGCTATTTTTCTCTTTTAGCCCTTTTCCTCAACCATAAAACAGTGTTAATGGAGAAGAATATCGTCTTCAATGGGACAACAGGAAAGGGCAAAGTGCTGCACAATATAAGACTTAGTTGAATAAAACAATTTCACATATACAGAATTTAAAAAATCACTATAACTCACAGTCTTTATCAATCCTATAGGTACAGCATGTTGCAGCATCAGACAGCTGAAGCTGTAGCATCATTAACCGCTGAACTCCAAACAGCTGGTCAAATATTTTAACTGTAATAGGATCAGTAGCAGTGCTTATATTTGTCCTTCAAAAATATCATTAAAGCTAGAAAGACAATTCTATACTGAACATCTGAACAGCAAATAAGTTGTAACATCCTCTCATGAAGAAAACTCTTGTGGAAACTGACAGATGCTATGCTGAGATATAAGAATACGCACACCATTTAAAATCCTTTATTTGAAGGATTATAACAGAGCACAACACTGGACTTATGCCAAGCTATTTCTGAATATTAAAAAGTACTCCCTCTTATAGAAGTCACTTCTGGACTGCTGATAACATGAACTGAATATGCACTGGGGTTTAAAATAACTTTCTGAATGCCACTTGAAACACAGAAATAGCACCACTGAAGATAGCAGCAAGAACATATCAGATAAAGATGGTAGGCAACATTTAATCCTATGGAAAGCAGTCTTCATTTTTAAACAGATCTTCTGAAATGCCAGACAATAGAACTATGTGCATATGTACAATGACATATGACAATGATTTAGGATCACCCTAAACCTACAGCTTCTTGTGTTCAGACCTCTTACATCCCATGATCACACCGCTGAAGTTTCAACATACTCCATGTAAGAGGGCATTTGAACCACATTTTTTTAAAAAAAAAGTGATCAGAGTATCAAAATGTAGATACACAATTGTACACGATGTACAATTAAAAAAGACATTTTGTATCAATATTGATGGGTTTTTTCCTTAGCTCTGCAGAAAAAGATAAGCAATATTCCTTCAAATATTGACACCATAAAGATCCAAATGCATTATGAAATAGATGCTTTGTCAGAGTGAGATGTTTGTTTTCATTCTAAAACTGTCGGCTAGGTCAGCACCCTCTGTCACTTCTATAGCCAGTAAATGTGTAAATAAATGCTATGTTTACAAATCTAAAGTCTAGTAAAGCTGCAGTTTCACTATATATTAAATCTGACTTGCTACTGCCAAAAGAAATCGTGTCACTCATCTTTTGCACCAAAATCCAGTTTTTTGCAATCACAAAGTGATAGATTTTCAAACTAACCCAACCAAAACGGAAGGGACTTCCATTAACTGAAAAAAGAGCAGATCAAAATACAATGAAACTCCAGAATAACACTGAATACCAAGATACCTGCATTAATACTTCTACACATTCTTAAAGCATTTTGGTATGTACAATATACTTTCTAATTATTTCTCTCAAGCTGCTCAAGTCAGCAACTCTTCCCTCCTCTTTTTCATAGTATTCACTAGTAAATTGTGTTTGTCTCTGGTGTAGAAGATGATCTACTGAAGTCTTTTCTACAGCTTAAAAAACCACAACCCTTACTGCCTTCATATATTTATACATATAACTGTAATGCTAAAATCTACACGCTTATCACAGCAAAGAAAGATTAAATAGTCCTGAACAGACTATCAAAACATGGAAACAGCAGAAAACAACCAAAAGGGAGATATCTATAGTGAAAAAAAACAATGTATTTTTGTTTGAACCATCAAGCACCTTAATCTCTTCCTGAATGCAACTACTATCCTCTGTTTCCTAATGGATTACATTTAAGATTGATGTTCCACACACCTGCTCTTCTTTCCTTTAACCTCCACTTTCATTCCAAGTATCTCTTTTCTCACTCCACTTCCTGCAGGAACAGGATAGCTCAAATCAGAAAGAATTTATTAGGATAGCTCCAATGCAAGAAGAATTTATCACCTATCAGCAAAGTACTTTCCTCAGGTATTAACTCCTAATAACTCCTATGACAGCACGTTTAATACAAAGCAACTTAAAAAATGTGTTTCCAAGTGGACATTCGGTTCAGTTCACAGTTCTGCAGCCTCTTCTACACCAGTATAGAGATGTTCAAATACTTTCAAGAGAAAACTTGTGGGGAGAGGTTGTTAACATTAATATCTTATCAACTGATTTAACAGCTTGGTCTTAAAAAACAGATTAAGGATATGACAACTACACTAATACAAGAACACTATACTACAAAATGTTTTTCATTTAAAGATATTTCTTAAATGATCAATGTAATCTTCTGAAATCTCAATCTAGACACTCCCTCAGCATGCCTGATATCCACAGCAGTCCATTTATCATCTGCTAATCACCTTCCACTTAAAACTGTCTCCCTCCCCAAAAAATGCCATGACAGTTTTTTCTTATTAAAGTCCCTCATATCTGAAACATTACACCACATCTCAAATTTCTCCAAAGCAAACAGCTAAGCTTTACAAGGTAGAAAAATTAGTTTACTTGAGTCTTCTGTAAAGCACTGTATAAACCTACAATATGTAAGTGAACTACTTAAAGAACTTGAAATTTCAAAGATACTGTAATTTCTATTTCGAGTGAACAAAGGTAACATGTTAAAATAAATTCTGCCAAAATTAAAGTCAGAAACATCAATGGAGAATCAGAGACTTAAAGATGATAACATTATTCAATATATATATATATATATATAATATTTAAAGGACTGAAAGTAACACTGTTCTTCATCTCACTCTTCAGTCTATTAAAATATCCAAGATGTGAGTAGCTGATATATTCTGTGTAAGACTACAGTTTATCTCTGACAAGTCATCATGATGACAAGAGACTGCATTCTAAATAGTAATTACCCTGCATTTTTATTCACTCAGAGAGAGATTTCATGTCAGATGTGTCTTTACAGAGCTTAACTCTATCTCCAGAATACAGGACTCCTAATGGTATATAATGTGATGCCAATACAAAAAAAAAAAAATCTAAACAAAGCTTACATATATTGTTATTTCAGTTAGAATGGAGAAAACAAGTAATCCTAATATATCCATCCTACCACATTTACTCTTCTCAGAGTTGGTTCCTAAATCAAGTGTAGAGAGTTACATACTTGCATTAACTTTGAGCCTGTACCTTACATCCTTGCACAGCTTTTTGCAAATAGTCTTATTTATGAGGATATCAGATTTGGGCTTTAAGCACATATCCTGTTTCTTTAATTATACAGACACAACAGATACCTTACTTAACCCCATTTAAAAATGTGATGGGACTATACACAGTCACCTTTTTTAGGCTACTTAAAAGATTAGAAGACATTTTTAGGCACCCCTGAAATTTTGCCAGCTGTTTAGTAACCAGCAACAAAGTGACTCAGCTACTCTGCCTGCAACACTGCCAGGAAATTCTATTGCAAGCCAGCCAAAGCACTTTTACCTTTATCAGAGTACTGACTCTCTAACGCATGGAGATCAGGCAGCAGGTGCAAGCAATTGATGCAGCAGTAAGTAAAGAAATCCAACACCACAACTTTTCCACAAAGGTCGTTGTGAAGAGAAATAGGACCTTCAGTGTTTAACCATTGTAGATCTGGAATTCAGAGAACAGTTAGGGGAAGGGCAGGGAACCGCAGACACACATGATTTGCATACCACCACACAACATTCCTGGTACACTGAACTTAAAAAACAAAAGTTCAACACCCCTTTCTACACAGATAGAAAAGCAAACCAAAAGTCTTATATTTATCCAAGTCATCCTTATGCTCCCCAATTCTTCATAATTACTAAATGAAAATAAATATTAACACAATTTAATGTAATATAAAAGTTAATATATTTAAATAGGCACCTTTTAATTGAAAGAACATGCAAGCCTCAGAACAATCTTCATACATTTTTAAACATAATTTACATTAATCAACCCCTAACAATGTTAGAAGGGTAACAATTAATTATTAAAACTTACATAAATGCTAGCAAACTAAAAAATTGCTAAACTCAATGATTCTTCCAACAGTTTTGTAAAGATCTAATTTCAGAGATGACTGAAATATTTTGTGTTTATAGTTTTGATCTTGACTTTCAACTCTGAAATTACAGGTATAAATTAATCCTTACATGGGAAGAAATACAACCTTTTCAGTTATACCCGGTAGCACTCCTGGTCATTTATTTTAACCCCTTGATATGAGACATGAAATCATTCTTTTCTCTCTGGTAACAGATATTCCTCTGATCCCATGAGAAACTGGTATCAAAATAAAAAATAAATATCCTAGAATATGGTGTGCCATTATTATCATTTAACATTTATGAAAACAGCAGGCGTGAAAAGATTGATGTGATACAATGCAAAGCTGAACTAAATTTTTGAAGGCCTATTTTTTTTAAAAAAAAAAGTATGCTGACTGATCTAAAAATCTTCAGAACTTTCACATCCCAACAGTTGCAGCAAGCTGTTCTTACTGCCCTGTAAGTTACTGCTGCTGAAGTCAGCAGGAAGCTTGTTTTCTATTTCACTAAGAGTGCCTCCATATATTATTAAACATAAATGAATGCACACACATTTAGATCTGGAGACAATAATAATTTATCAAGTATAAGCATTATTTCCACAGTATAAGGGCTTTACAATTTACTTTTTAATAGAAAAGATTAGGTTATTTTACAGCATTGCTCCTCTCCACTAGAATTAAAATACCTTTCATAAAAAAATGCTGGAAATTAAAAATGTTGACTATCTGAGCTCTTTTTAGAGGAGAAAACAAGCTTTGACACAACACAGAAAGTGAAACAATATTAATGACAAAGGTGAAAATTCAGGGGCCCAAATCTAGACAGAACGAGCATTCACTTTGCTCCATTGGTTAAACATCAGAATTCATTCCCATGATACACATGTGATTTTAACCCTGAAGTTCACCAGCTGAGCTCTCTGTCTTGCAGTCAGATGTGAGCTCCCACAGTTGCAGAGAGCCTCGCTAAGGTTAAAAGGACCTTGAGCAGGGTTTGCAAGATCTTACAAGACCTAACTTTTAATTTCACACTTAGCATGGGAAGAGATACAGAAACGTATGAAAAGGGAAATGGGCACAGCGCCGAAGGAGGATGACATATCCAGCACAGTTTGTATTATCGGGGACACAACAGTTGACAAGCATGTGTAAGTTATGGGAGAGAAAGCTGGGAAACATCCTAGGCGGCTGCAGTGAAACCACAGGAGCTCAGGAAAAAGCTGCAAGAGTTGGTAACGTCCTCACTATGACCAGAGGAGAGAGGTATCAGTGCACTGTACAGAAGGGAAAGCTTTTTTTAAATACAGGAAAAAAAAAAAAAAAAAGA